ACACCTAATTTCTTTTCATGAATATAGTATCAAGACAAGTTTTTGGATAATATAGTAAATTAAAACAAAGAGATAAGTCATCAAAAAATTTTTTTTTATACAAAGAACATTAGATTTATCAAATTTTTTTTGAATATATCAGCACAATTTCATATAATCGGAAAAAATATAATTATCATAGAAAAACAACATATGATGAAGCATACAACGAAGACGGTCTTTTTCGATACGATATCGTCGCCCCGTCAGAAGCATCAGAAAAATTGATTTTTTAAATTTCAACTTGCAACTTTGCACAGAAGTAAGCCTTTGACAATAGTAGTTCGTCGTAAAAGTACCAAGTGATTTGACTTGTTTTTGTCCTCAATTAAGCACATCGAATTTGTCGGGGTATATAAGCGATGTAAAAGCTGTGCTGTTATCATGGTTACATCTTGAGATAAAAATAACGACAATACCTGAAACTTTCATAATAGATTATTCTCATGAAGTTTTGTTTCAATACAAAGTTTCAAGTCAAAATTTGAAAATCAATATTTGTAGTATTCTCGCGGAAGGCCATGGTATTGTATTGAAAAACACCGTAACAATCTGTTATATCGGTAGCAATAATTTATGAACCCAAACTTTGTTCGAAATATTTATAATCCATTAGAGTCTACATTGTGCACATAGTTCTAACTTAAGAGTGATTAATCAATTGGAAGATGTTCCTCATAAGTCAGATCGATTTATATGTATAATATACTGACATCGTTCATAACATCTTCTTACATCCCATGTGAATATGAATTGTCTTTCTAAAAACGTTAATCATCATGAACATATTTTTATTACTCTATAATGATCTTTTTATGTTAATATCGTTAGCCTACTCTCTCTCATTTTTATATGAAAGACAATAGTATTGTAGTCGTTAATGAAGATGAACAACAGTCGAGATAACAAAAAACAAAACACAATAATCATAACAATATTTCAAAGTTCGATATCACAAAAAGAAAAGAGAGCTGTCTGAAACGAAATAACAAAAAAAAAAGAAAGTAATCATAACTAATTGAAAATATTTTATTTTCCAATAGAAAATGATCGACCAGTTGGATTATGTATAGGTAACGTTGTTGGTTCAATAACTGTCCATTCGTACCAAACTTGAGATGATGAACAACAACGCCAAAAATTTACTTTTATTTTTGAATTAGTTGCTAATGTTATAGGTTCCTAATGAAATATCGAACACTAAAAATTATATCACATAAAATTTTTAAGTATTTCTTACTCGAATTGGAAAAAACATAGGAAACCAACTAATTAAATTTTTTGAATGTGTATTTGGTTCAATACCTAGATCAACATATGAGAAATAATCATTCTGATAAGTCATATGACTTACTTATAGAAATATCTTTATACAATTTTGCTTCGAAAAATCCAGCTAAACCATGCATTGTACCTGTTGTTGGTATTGTAAATTCTACTTCATCATATCTTGAATTATCTATTGGAACTAAACAATTGAACTATAGCAATAAAAATCAAAACAAAAAAGAGAAAATTTTTTTATTTTTCTTTGATTTACTCGAAAAATTTGGATGCATAAAAGTAAATAATGGTTTTGTTTCAGCCAAGAAAAAACAATTATGTAAATAAACAACAAATGGTGTTTCAAAATTTGCCTAAATATAAAATCTAATACATTAGTATTTTAAAATTAAAAATTCTTATTTACATAATAAGGTTTATTGGCATCACGATTATAAAGTAATTCTGAAAATATACGTGGTGATTGTACGGGACATATATATGAAGTATATGAATAAGGAATACTAATTCCATCATCTAAAATAAATCATATTGAAAATATTCATTTTCAATTATTGGTTTTTTTTGTTTATTTACCTTTTAAATAACGTTGTGCCCCATCAAGACATTCAGGTGATAATTCATTATCACCAAATGAACCTAATAACTCACTAACCATGATATCAGCTTTACATTCTGGATGCCATGAACGCATATCTTCATGAATGATAGTCACACGATCACCCCATTCTTGTTTTTGAGAATAAAGACTATGAATAAAAATAAGTTTAAATAATAAATTAATTTGTAATATTCAACATACGAAATAATTGCCATAGGATTTTTTTCTACTGCATAAATATGTACTTTATATTTTGCTCTATCAGCTGCTTCAAGCGCTCGATTAACTAATGGTCCACGACCGGCACCAACAACCATAATTATTCTAAATAAAAGAAATCACAAATTAAAAGTTTAAAGTGTAAACGACCGATTAGAAAATATTTCAGAGATATTCATCATAGTTAAAAACTTGCTACTGTAGTGTCGCGATGGACATCTCTGACAAATTTTTAGATGAATTTGAAATGGTAAAAATTAATAGAATATTTAACGAAGGAAATTTTCCAACGATCATTATATAGATTTTCATGAGTATAGATGTAAGTCGATAGATTGATTGATGGTTCAAGTTTTTTAAAAATTTTCTTAATCTCAAAGGAGAATAGTTTTCTCATATACTGGTAAATTCGATGTTCTCATTTTAGGATACTAGTAAATCGAAAGACTTGAAGTTTTCACCATATACTATTCTCATTAAAGTCTGTCTCTGTGGAAATTTTCAATTCATGAAACTTATTCATAATTCATTAGGATCTACATGATGCTTATAGTCCTGATTCAAGGGTGGTTTATCAATTGAGAGAATTCTCTGACAAGAAAATATTCAATCGTATAATTAACTTCTTGAATGTACTCCGAGGATCTATAGAAATACAATCAGTACAATGAAGATTTTAGAAAAAGTTATTCAACAATGAATGAATGCATCAATATCAATATAGACTATTATTAATACATAAGAATTTAGTATTGATTTCAACTATAAAATGTTTTCCTATCGAAGTATAAGAACTACTTTACTGATTTTTTGATAATAAATCTTCAAGTAATAAAATTTCAGAAAACATACAAATTTCGTACTATACTTACACAGTTGTTTTTTGATCATATTGCTCGACTAATGCTTGATAAATAGCCTGTATTATAAAACAACAAAATTATTATATGTCTAATAATTTTAAAATGAACTGTACCTTTTCATATTGAACATATTTTATTGGATCTTTTTCAAATATTTCATATGTACGTGATTCAAGATTATCAGCTAATGGTTGAAGTGGTACTTGTAATCGATCTTCATAACCATGTGTAAATGATTCAAGTACACGATTAATTGGTTCTGTTTGCTAATCAATACAAAAAAAATAATTATTTTATTTAAAGAAAAGAAATTTGAGTATTTTCTTTTTCTTTTTTTTGTTTACTCGTGTTATATGTTTTAGATATTGTAAATAAGGTTCAAATAATGTTGAATCATTTGGATTAATACCTTTAATAATAAATTGAACTTTAAGCTAAAATAAAAACGAACACAAAAAGAGAAAAAAAAATTTCTCTAATGAATAAAAAAGAAAAATAAATGTACTTTAATTAATTTAATTATAAAAAGTTGATGAGCAGGTGAAAGAACAGGATAACCTTTTGCATTAGTCGTAAAAATTTTTGTTGGTAATATAACAGCTCGTACTGGTTCACCTAACCAACGTTTTTGAGCTTGTTCACTTGGTATATCAGCTGATAATTCTAACATTATAAGAGAAAAAATTACATAGAATAATTTTCAAATAATAGAAATAAATTAAATTAATACCTAATACCGGATAAACTTTTCCATGATAATCAAGTAATTTATAGATTTTATTCCACCAAAGCCATGGTTGTAATTCAGCTTCATTATCATCATCAAAATTACCTGAAGCACATGTTGGAAAAACAAACCAATACTTAACAAAAAAAAAAAAAAAAACAAAGATTTGTTTTTTCTTTTTCGAAAATAATATTCTTACAGCAAAATATAATGTATTAAGTGTACTAGCAGCAATTCGAGTTAAATTTGTAATATTTCCATTACGAATACGTATAATAACACGTGCTACACTAAAATATTGAGCAGCAGCTAATTCTTCTTGAAGTAACTAAATAAAATCAAATTACAATAAAAAAAATAAATATTATAATTATCATTTTACTTTCGTAGCTTTATTTCGTATATGTAGATTTGGTGAATCAACATCAATAACATGTCGAATAAGAGCAACTAATGCTGTTGACATATCAGCACTTTCACCAACGCCCTTTAATCGACTAGCTATGGATGGCCATGTTAATTGTTTTGATCCATATGATGTTAGTAAATCCGTACCATACTGTTTACGAATAATTGGTATGACAAGAAAATCATATCTTACAAAAGAAAAGATTAATAAATAGTGAGAAAGAATATATAAGAATTTTTACTTTTGTGATGAAGCAAGTGTCAATGCATCTTTGACATTTCGTACCGTATTAAATTCAATGCCTACAGATGGAGTCGATTGTGTAGACATAAGTTTGTTTTTGTCTTTTGAAATTTGTATTACACTTTAAAAATATATAAAAGAATATTTATACTAAAAATAAAGTATCTTTTCGATACAAATCTAAAAAGAGCTAATATTTAATAAAGTTTCTATTTCTTTTCTAGCTATATATATATTTTATTCTTTTTTGAAATCAATTTATCTTTTAAAACAAATATTTCATACAATGGGATTGTACCTCCGTACGATAGATGTCGCATCTAGTCAACCAATGATTAATTACAATAAATCAAAATGAATAATAAATCATTTATTTTGATAATAACTCGAAAAAGAAAAGAAAAAATAATCTCTTTTCATTACAAATTCAATGAAATTGACACATTGATTAACCAATCATATTCTTCTTAATGAGTTCAGAAGATAAATAAAAAAAAAAAAAAAAAAGGAAATATATATCGTTGTTTGTTTACTTACTTCTTTTTTTCTTTTTTTTTTTCGCTCTTCTACTCGAAATGATTAATTCTTTATTCAAATAAACTCTAAAACAATACAATGGTTCAACATTGTGTCAATGCTGCTAGTACAGATTTTTCTTCTTATAATTCTAAAACACAATGTAATGCTATTGATGTTGTTGGAAGGTAAATTAAATTTTTTCTTATATCAAATATCTTTTAAATTAATTTTTTTTTGTAAAAAGTAAATCATCATCAATAACTAATGCATTTGATTATCATATTCATACATTGGGTTCAATGCAAGCTGGTACTGCTGATTTTGTTTCAAATGTTTTACCAACTGAAATACAATCAGTATCTACTGAACAAATAACATCAAATTCAATTTCATCTTATAAAACTAATACAACAACATCATCATCAATATCATCATCATCTGGTTATGGATCTGATTTATCACGTTCATTAAAATCACATAAATCATTATTTTATCGTTTAAAACGTTTAATTAATTTTCCGACAACAAAAAAATCTATTGATTATCCTTTATCAACAATAAATAATTATAATGAACAAAATAATAATTTAAATTCACCACTTCTATCATTTCAGAATTCAATAACATCATCAAAAATAAATAATTTTAATGAAACACAACAAAATTCTTTAACACGTTTAGATATTAAACGTAAATCATCTAGACGAACATTATCACCTGCAACACAACATATTCCTTTTTTATATGGACTTAAAAATTGTGGCAATACTTGGTAAGAATAATTATAATCATATCAAAATCGATTCTTTTCTTTTTTGTTTGTTTTCAAAATGATATCCATCTTTCGATATGATCTAGTGTTATGTTTTGAGACTGATAAAGGAATTTATTTGGATAGAGTTTGAATTAATCTTTTATATTGTTTTCGAGTATAGATTCAAAATCGATTTATAATTCATAAATTAGAAGTTGTACAAAAACTTTGATTTAAATTCTATTTCTACAGACTGTTTTAAGAGATTTAATAAATTACTATTTGATAACCTATTTTTTAGATATTTAATATCAAATATTTACTTCGATAATAATAATAATAAAATCTTTTATTTCCTATAAGAAATTAAACTCAGTTATTTGTATTAGTTATTCTCATATGACAAATTTTGAAGTAAAAAGAAAAAAATAATTTTTTATTATTATTGTCACATAAAGATCTTGTCGAACTTCAAATACAATAAATTTTACTTGTGAATATAAAAAGTATGAGTGCACCATAAATGATTTTGTATTAGACTTCTAATTTATGATCATCATAAACTGCCACTATACAGGATAGACCAAAAGTTACCGGTCAGTCTTAAATTGCGAATAGCTTTTGATAGAAACAAGATCTAGACCTGTGGTTTTCAATATTCGAAAGAGCGATGTTCAGACTATCGATCTATATAATATTCACCTAGACGAAAGATGCTTTTTCATAGAAACTTTTTAATTGACATTCTTCTTTTTTTGTGTATTTTCACAATAATCTCGTCTCAAATTACGCCAAAATGTAGCTCAAATCACTCATTTTTCGCTAGACAAGTATCACTATTTTTCGAAGGCTCACTTGAGAAAAGAGATTGACGGAAATATGCATAAAGTGATAATTTTATAGCGAAAAATGGGTGATTTGAGCTACATTTTGGCGTAATTTGAGACGAGATTATTGTGAAAATTTATGAAAATACACAAAAAAAAGAATATCAATTAAAAAGCTCCTATGAAAAAGCATCTTTCGTCTAGGTGAATGTTATATAGATCAATGATCTGAACATCGCTCTTTCGAATAGTGAAAACCACAGGTCCAGATCTTGTTCCTATCAAAAGTTATTCGCAATTTAAGACTGGCCGGTAACTTTTGGACCACCCTGTATATTCATAAATATTATAGAATTGAATATTGTAAGGTTAAATTACACATGTGAACTGTACATTTTACTCCTATAGAGTTTCTACTAACAAGTTTTTCTTAGTAAAAATCAATGCAAGAACTTCCGTATAAAGTTTGAACTTTTTTCATTTAGTTATGTCAATGCAATTGTTCAATGTTTATGTCATACTGAACAATTAGCATTATATATACTTTTAAAAAATTATGAAATTGATATGCGTAATATAAAAAATGCAATTGTTGATAATACAAATTTATCTCAACAATCAATAGGTTTTAAAGTAATAAAAACTTTTGTACAAATATTTCAAGCATTATGGAATAATTCATCAAATACAACTTCAAAATTATTATATGATTTTAAATCAATTATATCAAATTTAAATAAACAATATTTAGGTAATGAACAAAATGATGCACAAGAATTTTTATTATTTCTTATGAATACAATTCACGATGAATTAAATTTAGCTACAACTCAACGATATCGACAAAAACCTAAAGTAACTAATATTTGAAGAAAAAAAAAAAGAAAATATAAAATCAATCTCAAATTATTTTTATTTTTTTTTACTATGATTATAGAATTCATTTTCTTCTATAACTATATCATCTCAATCATCATCATCAATCGCTTCATCTGAATTAGCTCATCGAGCTTGGTTAGAATATATTGATGCTAATCAAAGTATAATAACATCAACATTTAGTGCTCAACTTCATTCAACATTACGTTGTAATCAGTGTAAACAAGAAAGTAAAACTTTTGAACCATATTTATTATTATCATTACCAATACCACAAAAAATTATTAAACCTGTTTTTATAACTGTTGTTTTTCTTAATCAATCACCAAAACAATTACAAATTGGTTTATGTTTACCTGTAACAAATACTGTTAAAGATGTACGAGAAGCTATAGCTCAACAATCAAATCTTGATCCAAATGATGTAATGATAATTTTATTTTTTTTTTTTCTATAATGGATTTTTATGAAAAAACAATCTAAAACGAACGCGCTAAAAATATACATATTGAGTAGAATATATAGGGTGTCCGAAAAGTCATTAAAGTTAGAAAAATTTGAATATCTTCATTACGGCTCGACCAAAGGTACTCTTTTTTTTTACCAAGGATAGAGACATGTTCACATTCCAAATCCATACGGACAAAATTATTGAGAACCTTTGTTAAGTATTACTATTGACCTTAATAAGAAAATTTTACTTTTTCACAGATAGAAAAAAAAAACAATATTCTTAACAAAGCTTCGCTCTAACCTTGTCCGTATAGATTTGGAGTTTCAACGTACCTCTATCTTCGGTAAAAAGATCAGCTGGTTTTCTAGAGCCATAATGGAGATATTCAAATTTTTCTAACTTTAATGACTTTTCGGACACCCTATATATATATAAATGCTGTGTATGTTCACTTTTTTTTGACAATTCATTATCTTTTCCATGTATTAAATTGACATCTCATTAATTATCAAGTCGAATCTGAAAATGATATCATACCAGGGATACTCACCATGATAGACATTCCTAACAATGTTCCTTGCGTCACAATCAAGGATAAAAGTGAAGAAATATGTTTGACAATAGATAAAATATAACAATTTCTCTATGTTTAGTCACATCATGTTTCAAATTTTTATTTCATAGAAATTGCACTAATAATTTTTCTCTTTAATTTAGCTTGTTCTTATTGAAATTCAACAACATAATGGTTTTTCTCAAGTTTTTCATGATACAGAACCAATTAGTCGTCTTACACATGATGTTTATGCAATACAATTTCCTTCATCAAATTCAGAAAGTATTGAACATATAACATCATCGACAGAAAATTCATCTTTAGCTTATATTAATTTACTTGTTCTTAATCGTGTACGATATAATACTGGTCGAACGGAAAGATTTGGTGCACCAATTGGTAAAAAAAATTAAAATCTAGAATATTTTTTATATGAATTTAAAAATAAAATAAAAAAAATTTTTTTTATTTCAGTTGTTCGTGTTCCTCGTCAATCAAATTATCGTACATTACAATTATCAATAATAAAAGCACAACGTTCATTAATACGTGATGAAGTTATGGAATATGCTCAAGATTATGTTGTTTTTCAATTAACACTTATTGATCAATATCAATCAACATTATTTGGTACATTAAAACAAGAATATTCTATTTCTCATGATGTACAATGGCCACTTTATCTTGAAAAAATTCTTGAAATTCTTGATGCTTATGATGGACCTGGCATAGGACCATCACATATTCAAGTCTATGCTAATTGGCATGAAAAATTTGTTGGAGAATTTTTATCTAAATGGCCTTATGGTGATGATAAACCAGATATTCATCAATCAGTTGCACAAGCACGTGCAACATTACATCAACCATCATCATCATTAATTTCATTAGCAGATTGTTTTTCTTTATTTACACAATCGGAAAGTTTAAATTATGTATGAAATAATAAGAAATAAAAATTTTTTTTTTTGATTTTTTTTCTGAAATATAATTATTTATTTTTAGGATGATGCATGGATGTGTACACATTGTCGTCGTAAAGAAAATGGTACAGTAAAACATTTAAAAATTTGGACAACACCATATGTTTTAATTATACATTTAAAACGTTTTTGTCAAACAAAAATTTCAAATTCAAAATTAACATATCCAGTACAATTTCCACTTGATAATCTTAATATAAAACGATTTTTATCAACAACAAGAAATTTAACTGATGATGGAGAAAATGAAAGTTTAATAGATGATGAACAAGATGAATCTATTGAAAATCAAGATGAAAGACAATATGGATTATATGATCTTTTTGCAGTTTGTAATCATCGTGGTAGTATGTCAAATGGACATTATACTGGTGAGATTTTCATATGAAATCGTGGCAGAAGTACAGGACAGCTGATTAGCGTCTTCACTAAGTTATCTTACTAAAGAAATCCTATTTTACGAAAATAAGTAGTTTTAGAAAAACCATGATAAGACTGTGTCGAATGGATAATCAAAAGTCTCTGATAAAATATGATTGACTACGAAAAGTTTTTTCTTACTAAATCAAATTTTGGTGAGGTTTTCTTCATTATTCTAAGACCAAAATATATTGTTGTTCTAGTCGATCATGAAATTATGAAGACCACTCTTTCATATGGTCAAAACAATAAAATGTTTTTTTTTTCTTACAATAATTAAAAAAAAGCCTTGTTGAAGAAATAAGATGAGAACACAGATTATGCCAATGTGAGAGAAAACAAAATTGAGTAACTTCTACTTTTCTTAATACCCTGATGGAACATTTTTTTTTTTGTATATAGAAAAATTCAGTAAAACAAAAAAAGTTTCATTTCTAAAACCAAATTTATGATTTTACCTACTATTTCTCTATATTTTAGCTTATTGTAAAAATCCAATAACAAACAAATGGTTTTGTTATGATGATCATCTTGTTTCGGAATTAGATCCATCACGTGTATGTACACCAGATGCATATATTTTATTTTATAAACGTCGTAATACACTACCATCGCCAAGTTCACAATCTATTTCAAAATCTCTATCATCCCAACAAGAACAAATTGATTCGATTGTTAATGAATTCGATCAACATTTAAATTTTAATCCTTTATCTCCAATAGAAAATAAAAAAATTCATTGTACTCTTCAACCACCATTACCATTACCACGAAGATTATTAACACCATTATCATCATCGTCAACATCTGAAGATGATTGTTCACGAGTGCCATGTCCAATGCCACGAACACGTCTATCAAAAAATGAAACACAAATTATTTCTCAACCAATACCATCTGTCAGACAACAAATATTCAATACGATTCCATCATCAGAATCATTAAATGATTCTAATAAAGAAATACTAAGTCCATGGAGTCGTTTTAATAATTACCGATATTCTAATGATGAACCAGAAAGTAATGTGGTTTATCATACAACGATATTACGATAAAATTATTGTATGAATAAATATTTATCATATAACAGTAAACATATATATATATATATTTTTGTGTTTGATTCAATCCTAGCCTATTGTTTGTTTGTACAGTTTATATTTCTCCGTTAGATTTTTTTTTCTGAATTAATTGTTAATTTACGCACTTTAAATTGATTGATATGCTTGCGCATTTGATTGATTTTGTTGTTTTTTTTTGGGTTAGTAGTGTACATAAAAATACGTATATATATATATGAACTGTTTCAATTGATGTGCTGTGCGTTTATTTATGCAAAAAATATTGGTATAACAAAAAAATATGTCAAGTGAAAAAATAAAAGACAAAGATTTTGTTTTAAAAAAAAATTTAGTTTAACACAAAGATATGTGCTGTGCCTAAAAAAATGAGACAAGATAGATATGGCAAAGAATGATAGAAGTCGTCCGATAGTGGCAAAAGTCTTCTTGATCGCATCTCATAGTAACTGAGATATCTTAATTTAATTTGCACAAATATAACTTTAAGATAACTCTAAATATTATATTTGTAACAATGAAATTCAATAATTTTTCATTATCAATGAGTGGGATTTAGTTTACAAATTTCACAAACAAGTGTCACATGAGGGTAATAAAACAAACGGCATCTCAGAAAGAATGAATCTGTCGACACCGTATTTGGACTGCCATAAATACATAGTATGTTCAATTTGGGATCATGTCCTATTGTTACTTTGATATAAACCTCATTGATTTTGCGTCCAAACAATTATCAGGATACATAATAAAAACCCAGAAAGCATCCAAATTTTTACTTATCAATTATAAGTTAAGTTTTTCTACAATATTATATCTTTTCTATTTAACCAATCTACTATCAATTTAATATGATTTTTACTAGTACAAAAAAAACAGTTTATGTACACAACTAGATTATGTCGTATTATTAGTTTCACATACATCTATTCACTGACTCTTTACATAGATATTTTAAATATTGAAATTAATAGCTGTACTTAATAAACCATCAACACATTAATATGGATATTTATTGTGAATATGAAAAAAATATTCGACAATCAGTCATGTTGAAACAAAGACGATCTCGAATAGTACTACAAACTGTTTTTAATTCGATCTCAACAAATTCGTCTTTCTTTCCTGATCGATCAGCGGCAAAATCCTCAACAGTTTATCACTAATTTTAAATTCAAGTTGACTATAATTTCATTTCGTTTGACTTCGAAATTCAAGATGGTTTTTCTTGAAAGTATTGCATTGAAACGAGTGAATATTTTTGATGTCTGTTAAAACTGATAGAATTGATTCATATGTAATAGTCACACAACTCAAATCTATTCCGGTTATGAGATAAATTTTGATTAGTAAAATATATTCTACAACTATTTTCTTCTCCATTTATTTACATTCTTTCTAACAAATAATTCGAATTTGAGAGTAGCTGGAACCGAAAATTGTCAGTATACCAATGGTGATATAAACAAACATGTGACATGGAGACAAACATTACATTTAGCAATGATTATAAAAACGTACGAACTTTATATTCTACGATAAAACGAATATCTTTTTTGTATGTGCTAATCAGAGATGAGCACAGGACAGGACGAGATTTTTATTTTTATCCTGTCCTGCCGCCCGTCAGGACAGAAAAGTTAGCAGGAGAGAATAGGACAGGTAAAAAAACCTTGTCCTGTATTCACCTCTAATATTTTTTTTTCTTGAAAATAGTATAAAATCCATTAGTTAGAGAATATTAATTGGTGATATTTGCTTTGTACAATGAAATTAAAAGTAAAATTCTCACTATTGGCATTTTACAACCTGTGAAAACAGATTTAATTGGCAGAAAAACGGCAGAAATTGTGACGTCTTGTCCTGATGCCCGCCAGTACAGAAAAATTAGCAGGACAAAAACAGAGCAGGAGAAGATTTTAATTTTTGTCCTGTCCTGCCGTCCGTCAGGACCGAGATAGCTAGCAGGACAGAAAATCTTGTCCTGTGCTCATCTCGTGTACTAATGTGTAATGCAGCATAATATAGGGTTATTCCGCTGACTGGAGGCTAGAAAAATGAGAAAAGAAGCAAAACACATGTTTGGTCGTAACTAGGGATGCAACGGTGACGATCAGAACTCGCTTCACCGTCACCGTTTCATCGCTCTGGAACGGTGAACGATCATACCGATCAGACCGGTGAACCGGGGCTCGGTGGGCCGATCAGACCGGTGAACAGGGGCTCGGTGGACCGATCAAACCGGTGAACCGGGGCCCGGTGGACCGATCAAACCGGTGAAATGGGGCCCGGTGGACCGATCAGACCGGTGAAACGGGGCCCGGTGGACCGATCAGACCGGTGAAACGGGGCCCGGTGGACCGATCAAACCGGTGAAACGGGGCCCGGTGGACCGATCAGACCGGTGAACCGGGGCCCGGTGGAACGATCAAACCGGTGAACCAGGCCCCAATTTAAGTGCATATTGGGCGTACTCTTAGGTCCTCATATACTATATATTAGGGGTACCCTTGGGTAGGGGTGGGAAGTTCTCGTTCCATTCCCGGGTAACGGAAAATGCTCTCCTTCCTGTTTTTCTTATGAGAATGATTTTTGAAAAAAGTTTTTCTACAAAATTTTTTTTAATGCAGAAGTAGACTTTTTGAGAAAAAATAATATTTTTCGAAAACACCGCAAAATTTTGTTGTAAAAAATTTTGTTTACCAAAAAAATTTGTTTACCAAAAGATTTTTTTCAAAAAGCATTTTCATAAAGAAAATAGGACGGAGAGCATTTTCCGTTACCCCATTCCCAGGTAACTGGTAACGGTAACTTCCCACCCCTAGCCTTGGGTCATCATATACTATATATTGGGGGTCCCTCAATATATAGTATATGAGGACCTAGGAGTACACCCAATATGCACTAAAACCGGGGCCCCGTTCACCGGTTTGATCGGTCCACCGGGCCCCGTTTCACCGGTTTGAT